GAACAGAATATTACAATCAAATTCCAAAGACCACAAGTAAAAGGCTTTTTATCATATAGGTATTTTGTCAGGACTTGTACAAACATGGTCCATTGTTCCTAGAGAATCCTTCTCTTCCACTAGACGTTATTCGGCCGTGCATCTATTAAGCAGACATCCTCACTGAAGTGTGTACGAAGATCTCTAGTAGAAAAAAACATAACGGATAAATGGGTTTATTATCAATCTGGGAAATGTCCACAGTAAGGAAACAGATGAAAACCACAACAAGTGCTGAGAAAGAAACTATTGTCAAGTTAGTGAGGTACGGGCCCAAAACGTGAAGGTTTTATCATATTTGCAACCTTGCAATAGCCAATATTGAAATGGAACTCTGGACAGTTTATCTAAAAATATCGAGTATTAGTGGACTTGTTAATGTTGCAATCAAAAACGAGAAACGAAAGGAAATCCATCATGTGAGAGAGGTGTGATTAGATACGACCAATGTATAGGTTTTATGTTTATAATAGGACGTTGAAATTGTCCACATGCTTATAAGTCTGTTGTCTGACATGGTGGTTGTGAAAGTGGTCCAGCATTTATGTGTTCTCAAATAATATGCTGTGTCCAGGTTGGTTCATCAGGTGCTCTGCTATGGCTGACTTCTCTGGTTGAAGTAGTCTGCAGTGCCTTTCATGTTCCTTGATTCGTGTTTGGGCATTGCTGCGTTTGGTGGTCCCTATGTAGACTTGTCCACAGCTGCATGGTATATGGTAGACTCCTGCAGAGGTGAGAGGATCCCTCTTGTCCTTTGCTGAACGTAGCATTTGTTGGATTTTCTTAGTGGGTCTGTAGATAGTTTGTAGGTTGTGTTTCATTTTCCCTATGCGGTCAGTGGTTCCCTTGATTGCTGTTCCTATTTTCCAGGAATTGATTTCAATGTATCTGCTGTAATGCAATTTGAAATATGTGCCAGTACTACACTGGTATCTGAAGCTGATCAAAAGTAAAACTACCCATATACCAAAACTGCCATTTTTGATGTGTTTGCTTTTTGCATGTGACCATGAGAGTATGCTATGCTGATCAATAACTTTCCTTTCTCTCATCTACAGGCAGAAATTGTCAAGAGGCTGAATGCCATCTGTGCCCAGGTCATTCCCTTCCTGTCCCAGGAGGTAAGGAGTGTGTGTGTGTGACTTTGCACCTACTAATCTCACAATTGCAGGATATTCACTTTTTACTGAAGAGCTAATATGGCTCTCTGAAAGCATGCCCCCCATGTTGCAGGAAATTGGTTTGAGGATAATTTTACCATGGAAAACTGGCATACAAATAATCAATCTTGCCTTTTGTCTCTGAGTTCACCATCATCTCCCCATTGTAGTAATATTCACTTGGATATCTCCTGCATACGTGGGGCTACATAAAATTGCCGTCCTGGCTTCTGTTGATAGTAGTCTTGTACTTTGTGCCAGTATGAAATCCAACGAATTTTCATTGAATTAGATTAAGGTTCATCCAGATTCTGTCAGTAATCAGCCAGCTGGATGCCTCTGGAAATGCACACAGAGAAGGAAAATTGTTGTTGCAGCTTGTAGCATCTCCTGTCCCACATCTATCAATTAGAGCAAAGTATTTAGTAGTTCCTTCCTTGAACAATGGCTTCCTAATCTCCTGACTAGTAAGGGTAGTAACTAGCCATGTTGCCTTTGAACATGGTTGTTCTTCTCAGCTGTCTTAATAGCAGTCATTGTGAGCTGTTTAAAATTAACGGAAGGGTAATTCCAGAATTGTGATATGGGGAATTGGCTGTCAGCATGCCTGCATTGACTGCTGAGGCTTTTTGTCCCACTGCGGTATGCATTAGGATCAGGATGTTAGTTATATAAAAATGTTTGCCTGTCAAGTCAATGCACTCATAAATACAACTCTGTCAAGCTGGCATCTAATAGGATATATTGAAGAATTGCTAGGAAGGCATGATTTGTGCAGCATTTTTGACACTTGGTGTTAAGCTTGGCAGTAAATACGAAGAACTATCGACTGCTGATGCTGTAGCATAATGCAACCTTTCCCGGCTCCCATCCTTGTTTCCTGTTCCTTTAACTGCTGACAGTAGAGTGCTTGGTTTCAATTAAAAAACAGTCTTTGCCTTGCATCTTCTGGGGCAATCCTTTCTGATAACAGGCGCCTTCCCTCATGGCCTTCCGCAAGGGCCTGAAAACCTGGCTCTTTGAAAAGGCCTTCAACTAAGTACTATATTTTTGGAATGACCACCGGAATGTACTATGGCTACGAGACTGATTATGACCCAAACATGACGAGCGGATTTTTAGTTTAATTAGTTGTGTTAGTAAGATGTGTGTTATGGTCTTGACTTATTGTAACTGTTGTCTTTATGTTCTATGTTTTGTACACCGCCACGAGTCGCCTTCGGGCTGAGAGTGGCGGTTAACAAGTGCAAATAATAAATAAATAAATAAATAAATAACCTGGAGAGGAGTTTCTCTTTTTTTATTGTGTAAACTAGCTTAATTAGGCATGGGAATCACATGTCCCCATATTCCCTCTAGGAAGGGAAAAGGGGTTACAAAATAATTGTTCCTCTTGGAATCCTGTGGAGAGGGAGAAATTTAAATCCAAAGCAGACGTAGGAATCACATGAGTGTCCGAAACAGCAAGAACAGCCTCTCCAACTGCAGTCCCAGGTGTCAAAATGGGCACTAGTGATGGTAGAGGTGGGACTCCAAACATCAGACCTGTTCAGAAGGAAGGCACTTTGAAGTAAGGTGCCTTTCATTCAGTTCCAATTGGCTCCTGCAGTCCCAAGGTATTTTCTACCCCTTAGTTATATGGATCAATAACCTGACTTAGAACAAGGCATCCTTTTAATCAAGATTTAAATGTATGTATACATTACACATAACTAAAGAAATTGTTTTCCTAAACCATATGATTTTCTTGAAATGAAGCCATGCCTTTCCTAGAAAGTTATTGTGGGGATGCAAGCAATTCTTTTGAGTAATCAGACACCCATTCCACTCAAGCTACAAATGTGTTTTTGATTTACTTGTGCACAAATAGAAATATGAGTGTTTAGGTCATGGGAATGTTAAATGGAATAACATTGACTTTTATTTGTTTTGTAAATCTGATGAAGTTAGTGTAAACAAAATTGGGTAGGAATTTTAAAAAATCTGTCATACTTCCTCCGTTTTTCCAAATTGTATAGTTATTTTTGTACTTTCTCTTTGATTTCCTGAAACTTTTATACAGCCTGGGTAGTGGGCAATTATTCATTTTATAGCATACTTATGTAACCTTATGTTCATGAGTCCCATTTCATGGCAGTCTCTTGGCCTGCCAGCAGGGAAGACTTAAAGGGCCATCTTTCTGAGCCAAAATCTAGTCTTGCTGGTGCATGACTGCAAGTATAATAAAAACTGACTTTTCCCATTGCCTGCTTTCACACTGCTTCAAAAAACAGCCCTGGTGGTTCACCCAGCTGTGAGGAACTGTTTTGTTCAGGGGATATTGCCTCCCTTCTAGTTCCAGGGATGGAAGCCATCCTCACAGTAGGAAATCCTGCTGGATTCGGGCCAGTGTTATTTTTAGTCTCCCTGTCTTATGCATCCACTAGTATACATACAATAGGGTCCCCACATTCACTGGGTTTAGGGGTTCAGGATCCTCACAAAAGTAGAAAAACTCTGATTTTTTAAAAAACTCTGATTTTTTAGGAATGTCTAGGTCCTACAACATGACTCTATGGTCAGCCTCTGCTGGATGTTCACCCTAGAATTTCAATGGAACAGCTGGATGCTCACTAGAGTCATACTGGGGAGATGTCTAGAGAGAATAGATTAATCAAATCTCCAGATAATCAAATATGAACAAGTTCAACCCACAAAAATGGAAGGGCAGCCTGTTATGGTATGAGTCCACCTGACCTCTGTGGCAACATCCAATGGGATCCAGGGATTTCAAATTTAGAGAGGAAGGGATGTTTAGGTTTCTCTGCCTATGAGCTCTATAAAACCCAGGATTTCATAGAATGGAATCATTGCAGTTAAAGTGGAATAATAGTGCTATAGTTCCAGAGTGTGAATTTGTGTGTGTGATGGGGAAGTGATAGTTGGAAGCAAGAGTCTACATCTTGATTATGTCCACAAAGATGTCTCAAGAAACTGTAAGATGTTAGCTATAACTGTGAGTGTGTCACCATTTTGGTTCTGTCTTGGGGTAGCAAAATGCCGTTGATCACTTGTGCTGCAGACTGAGAACTAAGAGGATAAAGAGGAGTGATATTTTTTCTGATAAGAATGGAAGTTGGTTGAAATGGAGTGTCATTCTTAATGTTTGCCATGCTTCAGTACAATCAGAGCCCTTACTTTTCCTAGATTGAATTCCACAAGTTCAATTTCTGTGCTGAGAAAAACAGAATCTTGTGTCTTGCTTTAAATTATGCAATGGCAGAAATTTGCATACATATTACTACAGTGCATAATTATGAATATTTCTAATTTTGCTTCATTTACTCATGTTTACTGATACAGGAAGCATACAGGGCACAGAAGCCTAACTCTTAAAAACGGAGATCATTTGAGCCATCTCCTTGTGAGATTTCAGCAGACGTGGCACACACATTTTCAGCCTTATCTTCATCGCCATTACAAAGAAGATAAGGCATAAGATGGAGAGTTGCATTTGAAAAATGATAAAAATGTGGTCTTATAATTCTTCTTTGTGGCCACTGTGCCTCAAATAATTGGGTTTTATAGTTCCTGAGACAGTCCCCCCCAATGATAAAAAGGAAATATCACATCTCCCCTTCTGAGGTTGGAAACAGAGCCTTAGAGTATCATTGATCACTGTTACCACTGATCAGTGATAACAGCAAGGATTTTCCTGTCCTTCACTTGTTGTTAATTGCGGTCATATTAGTGTTTAAGTATGGCAACCCTATGAAAGAGAGATCTTCAAATACCAATACCAATCCTGCAGACACAGGACAGTGATTTCCACTTTTCCTTCTTATTTCCATTTTATGAAGGATTATTGTATTTTCTAATGAATCATGCCTCCTCATTATATGTCAAAAGTATGATAGCCTCAGATTAATTATTTTGACTTCTAGGGAGATTTTAAGCTTGACTTATTATAATTTTTTGCAGTCCATGGTTACTCTGAAACCCTCCTCCAATCCCACATCTTAAATGAGTTGATTTTCTTCCTGTAAACGTTTTTCATTGTCCAGCTTTCACAACCCTACATAGATATCAGAAATACAATGGCATGGACAATACTGACTTTGGTATTTACAATATCTCTTTATTCTTGAGGATCTTTTCTTGTTTCGTCATAGCTGCCCTTACAGGTTCTAGTGCTCTCTTCACTAGTCTTTCTAATTGGAAAGGGTCCAGTTGTGAGAAACAGTTATCAGTGAGCTATCCTCTTCTCACTCTATGACATAGTGGTTTACATAGTAATCTCAGCTGAAATGTTATCACTTGGGAGTGGGGGGAATGATGAGAGGTATACTTCATCTGGACCAATGGTTCTCAACCTGTGGGTCCCCAGATGTTTTGGCCTTCAACTCCTGGAAAGCCTAAAAGCTGGTAAACTGGCTGGGATTTCTGAAGTTGTAGGGAAAAACATCTGGGGTCCCACAAGTTGAGAACCACTGGTCTGGACTCTTTTGAAGCTGAATGAAGAGATACTTTGGGGCAGACAGACTGATTCCATCTGGTTTCAAGAAAAACAGGTAGCTGAGCCTGCAGGGGTTTGAAAAATAATGGTTTCAGCATCTCTTAGACCATCTGTGACTACCTATCTTGATCTAAAAGTGCTAAAACAAGTTCTGATTGGAAGAAAACAACAACAAAGCTCTTTACCTGGTGATGAAAAAACCACAACATAGGTGTCGGATGACTTTTTTGGGGGTGGAGGGGAGCACATTTTATAAATGGGATGTAGTCACTCTATTCTAGCTATTCACATACAGTAACTTCATTTGGGTTAAAATTTCATCAGGTAAATGTGTGGCTCTCCAGATCCTGTTGAGCTAGAACTCACATAACACCTCTCAATTGGCCTTACTGGTTGGAATTAATGAGAATTACAGACCAGCAGTATCTAGAAGATGACATGTTCCCCATTGGTGTTGTATGGGTTA